AGGGGGAACGTATTGCCCTGGGAAAAGAAACTGCCTAATAACAGGGTGTTGATCTCCTCAGGCCATTCCTTCCCTCATTGTGCATCCCCCAGATATTCTTAAATCCAAAAAGAATTGATGATATGGTCAAAGTACTCCCTTTCCTAATAATTGTGCACACAGGGTCGGTTGGTACATCCTTGAACTATTTTTCGTTCAAAGAAATGAGCAGTAAATTGCACTCAGGAGCATTATTCAGTGACATGTATGCCTGAAGGTGGCTTTGTACCAACCCCCCCACTCCCCTTTTATTACTGCCAAATAAAAGCAGAGCATATCCAAAGAACAGACAATTTGCTGTGTTTATTGTGCATTAAGATGACTCAGAAGCATGGAAAGAATGAAAGTGTTGGGTGGGATGCAAAAGAAAAAACATCACATGAGGGGTTTGACTCATCTTGGGCCATTACTTGTTTTTTTTAAAGCCTTTAAAGGTACAAACCCCAATGTTTCCCATTCTTGCTTTTTTTTTTTTAGTTCCTTTAAAATCTCACCCCCTTTACATTCCATTTTTTTTTTTATCACTCTCATGAGCATGATTTGAGTTTTACTCCCTCATAGGTCCAAAAAAGGGGTCCTAATTCTGATGGTGGGTTTTTTTTCCCCCCCAAACAAAAACTTTCCCCTCTTTCATGAATCAGATTTCTAAGACATTAATTCTGTTGATCCAATCTCTTACTCGACTTACAGTTGTACTGTACTTGCAAGACTGAAACATTCCGACTTGTATGTAGTGTATTTCTGGGTCAAATTATTGAAAGCAGTATGGGACTCATCCCATTTCATCAGCAAGCCAAGGGATGCGGTTTCTAAGTCTTACATATTTCCGACAGGCCCATTTAAAACGTATTTGCAATATTTTTGACGTCATATATCCGAACTAGTTAGGGGGGAATCATCTCTAACATCCTGTAGCTGAGGTGATTTGAATGAACCCTTTTCAGGTCATGTCACAGACTCATTTTCTTTTGTTTTGGTTGATTGCTTTTCTGATTTGGTTGGATGCCGCTGGACTTTTTCCACGCTGGAAGGTATTACTCTCTTCAGCCTCCCAGTAAACATCTGAAGGCAATTGGCCAAATTGACTGCCGTTTGGAATGATGTAAAAAAAAAAAAAAAATCACTTTTAAAGTTTTGGAATGGCCCAGACTTAAACCCAATTGAAAATATGAAAAAAATGTTAACATAAAATAAATAATACACATACTGTCGCAAGTTCTTTATTGACGTCAGTAAAATGTTTTGGGGACCATTTACCAGTTAAAAAAAAAAAAACAAAAAAAAACTGCAAACGGTATTACTTTGTAATTGGATGATTGAGGAGGGCGGAGTCAGAATTCCCACCTGCCAGGCTTTCAGCTCGCATGACACATTTTTTTTTTTTAACTTGCGTCCTCTGTATTAAAAACGGACAAGTCGAAAATTATCGCATGTTGCATTTGTAAAAATCAATGAACTTATACAGTAGTAGGATATTCTTATCAGGTTGTGGTCCTGGTAAGCGGGGGCTGTATTCATGCAGGCAAGTGTCGGCAAGAACACTGCCCGGGGCCAGGATTTAACGATCGATAACTTGGCACCTTCCACTCATTAACGTCACGCATACCGTCCTCTCATTACGCACCGTCGAACTGCACAGCTGCTTAAAAGTCAGAAATAAGTAACCAAACATAGCATCTGTTCCTATGAAATAAAATTCCAACTGCTCTTCTTCGGCGAATTTGCATCCCACAGCCAAACACAGAAATGTAATGATAGTTTTTTTTTTTTTTTTTTACATCCATAAATTACTCACCCTCTCAAAAAAAAAAAAAATATTAGAAAAAAAAGCCAAACAAAGCAAGATCAAAACACATTTGAATTAAATACTCAGGGGGTTCCCAACTAATCTGCTCTCTGGCAAAAAGAAAGGAATTTATCTATTTTCTTTATTTAATTGAAAATACTTTGCGAGGTGGGGGGGAGCATTTCTACGCCTTTCGGTTTTGTTTTATTCGCCGGCTCGCGTCGCCAGATGTGACCAATTAAAACATGATCATCATAATTAGGTCTGATTCTTAATTCTTGAAGCCAAGTACCAATAATTCCACTTTTCTGTTAGTGGCTACGTTTGCAATTTACGTGCCGACTTCAGCTCGTGCTGTCTTGAATCGCACTAGTCTGTGGTTCCATCAGCAGAAAACATTTCAGTCTTTCAGGGATCAATAATTCAACAAAACGGGTTTATTGTCGGGCCACCGAAACCAGCAACAGTAACAAAAAAAACAAAAAAACACCATGGCGAGACAGCGGCGGTTTTGTCTTGTTCCTTTAGATTATCGTTTATTCACAAAAGGGGACATTTGCTGTAAATTCAAGGTTATCGGATCAAACGGGACAAAAAAAAACCCCAAAAAACAAAACGCTGACAGGATTGTACACCGGCGCAGTATCTTAAATTGTGCGGTGGCATGAAATATTTGACGTAGGTTGTCATGTTGTAAAAATGAAATATCACATTTTAAATAGGTCTCGCTGCTGCCTCCTTAATATCTCCTCCTACAGTAATTGTTCTCCTCAACTCCTCTGGAAACAATCAGCGCATTTTCTCAGAGGTCAACAGCCTAAAACAAATTCTGCATATGGAATCATCGGTCAAAGGTTATGCCGACGATGAGCTATCCTTGTTTGCTGTAAGCTTAGCTTCCTCCATTTCAATATTGGGGGCGGCACGGTGGTCCAGTGGTTAGCGCGTCGACCTCACAGGGCCGAGGGACAGGGTTCAATTCCAGCTCCGGCCTCCCTGTGTGGAGTTTGCACCATCAGCAGAAAACATTTCAGTCTTTCAGGGATCAATAATTCAACAAAACGGGTTTATTGTCGGGCCACCGAAACCAGCAACAGTAACAAAAAAAACAAAAAAACACCATGGCGAGACAGCGGCGGTTTTGTCTTGTTCCTTTAGATTATCGTTTATTCACAAAAGGGGACATTTGCTGTAAATTCAAGGTTATCGGATCAAACGGGACAAAAAAAAACCCCAAAAAACAAAACGCTGACAGGATTGTACACCGGCGCAGTATCTTAAATTGTGCGGTGGCAGTAAATATTTGACGTAGACTTATGTTGTAAAAGTGAAATGTCACATTTTAAATAGGTCTCGCTGCTGCCTCATTGATATCTCCTCCGACAGTAATTGTCAACAGCCTAAAACAAATTCTGCAAATGGAATCATCGGTCAAAGGTTATGCCGACGATGAGCTATCCTTGTTTGCTGTAAGCTTAGCTTCCTCCATTTTAATATTGGGGGCGGCACGGTGGTCCAGTGGTTAGCGCGTCGACCTCACAGGGCCGAGGGACAGGGTTCAATTCCAGCTCCGGCCTCCCTGTGTGGAGTTTGCAGTCTCTGTGTCCCCTGCGATTGGCTGGCAACCGGTTCAGGGTGTCCCCGGCCTACTTCCCGAAGACAGCTGCAATAGGCTCCAGCACCCCCCCCCCCGCGACTCTTGTGAGGATAAGCAGATCGGAAAATGGATGGATGGACTTTCAGTCTTGGCATCACGATCAAATTTTAAGCGGAGCAGCCAAATAGTCTCTCTCGTTTCTGATTGGCTTATGAAGGAGTATTTTGCAACCAAGGCCTGTTCGCTCAGACGCATTTATCTGCCCGCCGGTGTTAACATCAGACTGGAGACTCATTCTAAGTAAAATGAGACACATTCCAATATCTGTGTTAAGTGGCCAACACTGATTCCCTGTGAACACACGCATTGAGTGGAGCGGTGTGTATTCAATCTAATTTAATCAAGCTGGAACAATGCCTGGGCCGTGGGCGGGTCTGATAACGGCGGCGTGGCCGAGTGCACATAGAGCTTGTCGTACGGATGCCGCAGTTCTCCGTGCAGGCTGGGAATGAGGTCTGATAAGCGTGGGGGTGGAGGTGGGGGGGGGCACCAAAAATCACCCGTGGAGGATTAGGGAAGGGGGGGATGGGCAGTGGAGCAAGACAAAGGCTGTTAAATTTAACTGGCGAGGGCATAAAGCCTCACTTCAACTCTGATTGATTTCAACCCCAAGTCAATGAGGTTCCGCCTGTTACAACTTGTAAAGAGACTCCCTCTTTTTCTTTCTCACTTTGTGTCTGCGTCCTCCGCCCCGAAACAAATCACTGCTTCTGGTCCACTACTCTTGGAACCGTAAACTTTCCTATGCTTCGTCAACACTCAACTCCAATAAAGTTGGACTGAGAGTTCAACATTTACGGACATACAGTTGAATTTTGCAGAGGGCGTATAGAATATAGAATATCGAGGTGTACAGTGCTAACATGTCGACGGCCCCAAGTGTACAATCATAAAGTACCTGCATCTCACATGCATATTTTGTGTTGGAATTATGCGTACGGGTATGTCTTTAAAATAGTCGGAGAATGAGAATGTGATGATTAGCAGAAACTAACGCTGGGCTCTCATGATGATCTGCGATCGGTTTGTCAGTAAATGTCAAGTAAATATGGCCCAGCTCCTCATCTATTTGATCATCTCATGTTGACAGAGAAGCAATGCGGGAGGAGGTAGAAATATTTTGGCGGGAATGAGGTGAGGCTTTTTCATCTCCTTATTTCATGGAGGTGTAGACTAAAGATGACATCATGTCATCTTCATATGCCTCATTCCATATTATATCTCTGGCCTACTTCGGAATTGCAATCGATTCTAATTTTGGGTGTATATCTCCTGACGTTTATTCATTTATTTATCCCCCCCCCCCCCCACCACCACATAATTTCACACAGTGAGCTTGATGTTCCAAATATAGTCTGAAATCAATCTGATCTCGTCTCTAATGGATTCCCGGTAAGAATATTAGGAGGGGAAAATTGATAAATCACCGCCATACCAGCCAATACCGCGCCTACAACCTCTTTATTATAAACCGTTATTGGTTATGTGATATCTGTGCGCGTGTGTCTATTTGTGCAGGGAGAATGAGGTCCTGAAGGTCCAGTTGAAGAAGTATGTGGGGGCGGTGCAGATGCTGAAGAGAGAGGGGAGCCAGGGCAATGACGGTAACACACACACACACACACACACACACACACACACACACACGTGTAGAGGTGGCTCGTGCATATTTTGCTCACAAGCAGAGGTGCCATGAATCCATTGCAGAGGCCCCATCGGTTCTGATGCATTTCTCAAGGGCTCAAGTGTGTAGCTTGTCTTTTAACGGTGCGAGGCTTCGCCAAACACGATGGTGAGCCTCTTTATTTATTTGCGTTTGTTTTGGGCGGGTTGGCAATAACTTTGACCGTGTTTGCCACCGCCGCCGTAGGGCGCAGATGTGTTATAGGGACCAAAGCGAAGCGGCACTCTGTGTGTAAATACGAGTGAGATAAGCCTCCGCTGTTGATAAATAAAGTAAACTAGGCAGATTATCGAGGGATCTAATAATCGCTAATTGCATTTTTTTTTTGGTGGGGGTTAAAAGGAGAATGATTATCTGTGCTGTTTGTCCTGCAGAAACTGATAAATGGAAATATGAGGATGAAAGCAATAACTGCAACAAAGATTATACAGTATGTGGTTAAATGTTTTGGGGTTTTTTTTGTAAGAAGAGGTGGTTATTAATTCTAACAGAATGCCGGCATTTTTTTGGGGGGAAGAGGTGGTTATTAATTCTAACAGAATGCCGGCACAATTGTCATTATTTCTTGAATGATTTTTTTTGTTTGTTTGTTTGTTTGACGGCATGTTGATTTATACCGAAGCTTAGTGGACTCTTTTCTCAGAAATTGGCATCAAAATAGATAAATAAATCATTGTGGTAATTGCTTCCCAAACAAATTTGTTTGTTTGTTTGACGGCGTGTTGATTTATACCGAAGCTTAGCGGACTCTTTTCTCAGAAATTGGCATAAAAATAAATAAATTAACTAAATAAATCATTGTGGTAATTGCTTCCCAAACAAATGTAGTTTTTCAGAATTTAATTTCCTGATTTGCAACGGAGGAAATATTGCATGAAATCGCAAATTTGATTCCACATGAGGGATGTGCAAAGAAAGATCACGGTTTGGTCTTGTGAAATCGTTACTTGCTAGCTTCTTGTCCATGTATTCTTTTTTTTTTTAAATGCTCATTATCCATTTGGCTTTTGGCCATATTAGCAGCTGCAAAAGAAACGGTGGAGCTTTCCG